CGGGCGGCGGCTCTGCCGGCGGGACGCCCCGGTGGCGGTTGGAAACGGTTGGCGGCGGCGAGGCCGCGCGCTAGTGCCACTTCTCCGGGCTTTAGAGGCCGCTGCTGAAGCTGGTTCTCTGCTTAGGTTAAAAGCAGTTCAGTGCCTCGGGGAAATGTACTGCTTGCTATGTGGCAAGAGCATGTTCAGTAAACCTTTTTTTTTTTCTTTTTTTTTTCTTTTTTCTTTTTCTCCTTTGCTGTCTGTAGGTTATTGATGCAACCTCATTGAGCTGGGGCACCAGAGTGAAGGGCTTTATTGCCTGTTTTGCAATAGGCTGCCTGTGCTCTATCTTGGTAAGGACGTTTTTTCCTGCGTCTCCTTCCCTCCCGAGTCACCTGTTTGAGGCTGAAGAGCCCTGATAAATGTATACAGGCAGTGACTGTGCTCCCTTGCTCCATTTCAGGGCTCTGCAGACACTTGCCTCAGTGTCACTTTTTTATATAAAGCATGTCAGTAAGCACAGCCAACGTCCTTGTGCACTCTGGGCTTAAAGTTTTCTTTGTGCTTGATTTGCGTTGTGACACTTCTTGGGTGTATTTCAGTTGCAATAAAATAACCCTCACTTTCATTAATGTTTCTTTTTAGGGCAGCTGTCTGCTATGGATACCAAGGAAAGGATTGATTCTTTTTGCAGTGTTTTACACGTTGGGGAATATATCATCTATTGGGAGGTAACAATTTCTGTTTATAACACTTGCCAGATAAAAGCAGGAAATAGGAGGAGAACAATAGGTGAATAGGTGCATGAGTGGCAAAAACCATCGTGTTTGCATGAGAGTATTTGCCTATGTGGATCACTGTCTTGTTGCTACATCTTAGAGAGCAACACTATTCCAGGACTGACTTCAAATGGTGTAAAAAACAAACAAAAATCTTATTATTTTGCTTTGGCTAGTGGATTCCAGATTAACATTAATGAGCATAAAAAAAATCACACTAAAGCTTTTCATGCTTTAAGCCTTGAGGTTTAAACTCCCAAGATAAAAATGGTTCTTTGTGTTGTTGAGTTTTATAATTCTATATTCCATATAATTCTATATTTTCTTGTTTTTTTAATTTTTTGGAAATAAGCTTTTTGACCTGTTTGATAAGCATTCATGACTGTTGTAAGGGTTCCTGAAACGCACAGCCATACTGATTTCATGAATGACATAACTGTGTAAGCTAAGGAGGCTTAACAAGGAGTTGGGAGGAGGCGGAACTGGGAATATAGTATGGCAGCTATGCGTGAACCAAAAAGACCAGCTCAGATAAAAGTTTCTCCTTTTCACCTTGCAAAATCCCTGCCATATTATTAATCACTGTCTCCTATAAGGAGGGATGCAAATCTGGTGAGGGATTGGAGAGCAGGCACAGGCGTGAAACAGTCCTTTACACAGAGAGATGGATACAGACCACTTGCCATCCAGGTGCAGGCTCCCGGGCTGGTGTTTTGAAGAGCAGATTAAGCAAGTCTGGGTCACGAATCATCTCGCTGCTCTTCACCTATGCTTCTATTCTGACAGCTCTGCTTTGCTTGTGTGAATAAAGAGATGGAATAAATAGCTCGGGCAAAGAAGAGCAGGGAGGAGCATTGTACATTCTGTTTCTTTTCTTATTATGGAGTATTTTTTAGCTTAACAACATAGCGTATTGGTGAACTATATGACACCAGACAATGAAATAAGCCTCCTCTAATCGGGAATCTAATTTCACTTCTGCCTCTAGATCTTCTGTGTTCATCTTGTTTTCCATTTCACAGCACTGCTTTCCTCATGGGACCAATGAGGCAACTGAAAAAGATGTTTGAGCCTACTCGTTTGATTGCTACTGTTGTTATGCTAGTAGGTATCAAAGGAATCCCTCTTGCTGGGTGTTAACTTGGAAACAATTTCTGTTGTAAATTCCTTTCACAGACTTTGATATGACTGCTTCTCAAGACCTTGTTTTAAAAACATCCAGTGTATCGCTATTGTAACAATATATGTGTAGCGCCAGAAAGGCACTTTCCTGTTATGAAAGTCTGAGTTGAAGCCAGGTTAATGAGCTACATGAACGTGAAGGATCCGTGGCTTGTGTCTGAGTCATGCACAGTTTCGTTGTGCTTGAGGTCATGTTGCTGTCATACTTTCGTGTTTCTTAGTAAGAAATGACAGACAGGAAACATCTTAGGGTTTTTAAGTTGTACAGTGGAAGCTATTAGAAACAGCCTCTCTTGCATCACTTTGTTGTCTTATCTCCTATTTGATGTCCTGTAAGAAGCTGCATAGGTATTTTTGCCTTGATAAAATATTAATTTCGTGACAAAACAAATTCAACATTCAAGTAATGTCATCCTTTGGAATTATTTTGTCTTTAGAAGTTTCTCTCCACTGGGCAACATGTGAAAATTAATGAGAATTCTCTGACTCATTCTCATTTAAAAGTGCATGTGCTGCTTTTTTTTTCTTTTTTTTCCCCCTCTCCTTTCCCCTTCCCTCTTATATTCCTACACTTTTCTCTTGGAAAGCTTGAAGTTCTGTAATGTTGTTGAATGTATGTCTAAAATTGCCTTTTAATTTTCAGTGTGAGTGTTGTCAGAGCATTTAATTGATATAAGCACTTCTTTTTTTCCTTTCTAAACATCTGAAGAGGCTGCAGGCAACTGGTAACATCTTAAGAAAATTTATTTAAGAAATACTAAAAAAGTGTATTAGAACTTCAATTTATATTATTTCAGTAATTACATAATTTCAACCCCATGATAACCTTGAGAGTAAACAACCAACATGGCATGAAGAGAAGTGGAAAGACTAGATAGAGTTTTGACTGGAAAGGTCTTATAAAAAAGGATGAGGCTTGGTGTTTACATGTAATATCAAGGAGGATGTGGGAAGAAGCAGGAACCTGCTGCTATTCTTCCTCTGTAGCTGTGAGCTGTGTGTAACTGTGAAATATGTAGTTCGTTACAGTCTCTGTGAAGGAACCCATTGCAATGTCGTATCTATAAAAGCTTTTTTTTTTTTTAATTCATTGAAATTCTTTTCTCTTCTAGTTGTGCCTTATACTAACACTGTGTTCTGCTTTTTGGGTGAGTACTTAAGTCCTGCTGTGTATATATACTTGGAATATATTTTAAAAATAATTTTTACATGGTGAGCTAGTTACTGTCCTGTGTTTTTCATGTTTGTTTTCTTTTTTTTTTTCCCTTCCTTTCAGTGGCACAATGCAGGACTGGCACTTCTTTTCTGCATTTTGCAGTTTTTTGCCCTGGCATGGTATGTGATTTCCTTCCTCTACCCCATTTTCTATTGCACCTAACTTCACTTGTTGAATTATCAGAGGATTTTGACCTTGTAAGAATTAAAAGGAAGGAGAATTTTTTACCTCACTGATCTAGAGGTGAGACAAAGCCCCTGTAAAGAGCAGGCATGTTCTTGCTCTTTGCTCTCTTATTCTATTTCAGTGAGTCTGGAGGTGGAGCTTAGGATTCCATTTTGGGAGAAATGTCTTTGATTTTTGTGTAATTTCTGTGAGCTTGAGGTAAAACTAGTCTCCCCCTGCCACTCTCTTTTAAGCAGTTTGTTTATTACTCTTTTGTGTTCCCCTTTAGACCCTCTGCAGTTTGTCAGGTTAAATGACCCATGTGTGCTAATCAAATTAAGTATCAGTTGTCTTCAAGTCATTGTATGCTTTGTATAGTACCGCAGAAATAGTACAGGAACTGATTTAAAAACATCCAGCCAGCCCTCAAGATTCACCCCATCTGCCTGTAGACATGAGAGCCTGAAGACTATTAGAGGAGAACTGTTTTAAGATATTCTCACAGTATGCTCCATGAATTTGCTATGTTGTTTCACAACCTGGCCGAGCGAAGTTAACTCGCAAAGATATGTGTATCTTTGGCTCACAAACTCAAAGCTGCATTATAGCTGCTATGCACATGTTGCAGTTACATATCTGTTTAGAGGAACAGACGGTTATTCCTTCCCTGTGTGACTCTTAAAATGTTCCTTCTTAGGTACAGCATTTCCTTCATACCATTTGCAAGGTAAGCCTCCCTCTTCTGCCCCTCTTACCTTTTGTCATTTTTAACAATAGAAAAGATTACTGCAGATTACTTAGAATAGCTTTTTTTTTTTTTCTTCCCTATGGTGATGTTTGGAGGGAGAGGGGGAACTGGTGTGGTTGGATCTGAAAATGGGATTAAGCAGCTTCTCTGGCAGGAGGACACAATTTAAATGTACCTGAATGAGGAGGCTTCCTATTACAGCCTGCATTTGTACAGCTTTTATGCAACCAATTAAGGCTTGCCTTTGGAATACCTCTATTTACTAGAAATGCTCCCAGCTAAGCGTATCCTTCTGTGTGCCTCTCCCCTCAGCCCCCTAGAGACCTGCCCGTTTACCCTGCTCCTATATAGTCACGCAGACTGGGTAAGCACCATTAATGCATGGCCAGATGATTTAAAGGCAGGAGCACCAGAGGGGTGGTAACTGCATGGAATGAGTCTCAGCGAGCAGCGTAACTGAGATGGCTCTGTTGTTTTTTGGTTTTGTTTTCTCTTTTTCTCCTACTCATAGGGATGCTGTGAAGAAATGTCTTTCAGTCTGTCTGACCTAAGAGGAATACTGGATGCTTCACAAAGTTCTTGGAAGGATAGCAGAACTATGTTAAGATCACTGTGTATGTGTTTTCCTACTTCTGTCTTAACCACGTGCCTTTTGGCTTCTTGTTGGAGGTTCACTGTCTTAAATCCAGTGTGTGCAGTTATTTGTTTTTGTAAGCAATGATGCCTGTAGGACAGGGTGCTTGTGTGATTTAAATGAAGTTCAGTCTGGCAGAAGAACTGGGCAGAATGTAATGTGATAATTTGTATGTAAAATCATGCATTTGTTTGGTTTTGCAAAATAAGTGCAGAAAGTGGTGGGATGAAGTCTGTAAAGCAGAGTCTGTCCTTGCTTCTGGGACTAAGCCAGTTTGGAGGATCTGATTTTTAAGAGAGATCATTTCCCAACGATTTTCCTGTTGAGAACTTTTCTTTTTAAGTAACTTTCTATCACTTAATCTTTGCACTGTTTACCTTGGGTAATGAGTACTACTGTTCTGTCCTCTTTCTGCCACTTGCAAAATTTTAGGTTTATGATACTACTAAAAAGCTCATTTCTAAATGGAAAGACTGCTTTGAAGTGAATATTTATGAAAGGTATGCTTCCTCAGTGAAGTATTTCACTTGTTGTCTAGAGTGATAAAGTTTTCCTAAAGTAAACGAAAGGGATACTTTCTTCTGCAAAAACTTGTTCCCATGGGAAAAGCACTTACAAAGTAAGAATCTGCCAGAACCAGAGTTCTTTGCCTTGCCTACTGCCAGCAGCTCTATAGCACAAGGCAAGAAACTGAAAATTCTCAGATAAAGTTAGGTGCTTCTCTTCTCCCTGAGCTATAGTGCAGGAGAAGCGCAAGAGTGAGGAAAGGGTAAGGTGTTAAATCAGCAGAGTGTTGAGTAGGGAGAAGACATCATTCTCTCCTGAATTTAAAAATAAGCTAAAATGCCAACAATTTTTTTTTTTTTTTTTTTACTGGATTCAGTTTTGCCTCTCTTAAAACTCTCAAACACACTGGTGCATTTCTTCTGCTTTCAGGAGAAAGGATAACTTGCTCTGGGCTGCCTTAGCCAAGAAATCATGCAACAATCTAGATACCGGCTTCAAACGAATGCTGAATGTACCTCTGGATTAGCATTATTTCATACAGCCAAATTTCAAGGCCAGTTTAGATTCTCTTATTCTTCTGAGCTATGGGTAATCATTTACCCCCAAACCACTGCAGAGGTTAATTAAGTAATATCCAAGTTAAGATTTCTACTTCTGCTAAATGGGATACTGATTAACCCCTTTAAACTCTGTCTTGCTAGAACCACTGGCTATGAAGATGGTTATTCCATGGACTCTGCATATAAACTCGTGTCTCGCTTTCCACATCTACCTAGAGGTGTGTCACTTAGTGCATTGCATTTGCATGGCAAGTGTGTCCCTGGCTTGCAGCACAAAGAACACTTTAACCTAGCAAAAGTCCAGATCTACTTGGTAAAAAGGTGTGAGTACACAGTGAAAACAAATAATTTCGTGGCTTCCAGAAAGTTAGCAGGAACCGAGTTAATTCAAAACCTTAAACTGAAGCGTACCTCCCACGTGTCCCAAGCGTACTCCCACTGTGAGGATCCTCTGGAGGAAAAAAACCCAAAACATAACATTATTTTGTGGTTGTTATGAAAGAAGAATTTTCTTTCTCTGGATTCCAGCTGGATAGTTGCTCTTACAAAGATATTTAGAACAAAAAATGCCTTCTTCAAAATGTGGCGCCACTAACTTGGGAAGAATTAGCTATAGACTGTGGTTTTCCTCAGGTGTTCTGTGCTGGTGCTTTTATTGCCTAGGAACTGGAAGCTAGTATCAAGATCACTGGGTTGAATATACTTTTCTTGAAAGGAAGGACTAGCTGAAGGGCCAAGCGAAAGTGAGAATTGAAGAATATTGATATTTCCTTTTTTCTTGACCCTGCTGTGAGGCAAGTCTCTAAACTCTATGACTTTATTTTCAACTGGGAGTTGGTTCAAAATCATTTTTTTTTCTACAGTTAAAGGACCTGTGTTAGACCTTTGTTAGGACTTTAATAAGGCTTTACAGAACTCTCTTGTATAATGGCAAGTAAAATGCATCTCTAATGCCTTTCACATTCCAATATTTGTTAATTTTAGTATCTCTGAGTGTGTCTTAACGTTTAAGTATAGCATACAATATTTCTTATGTCCTTTTTCAGGAAAGTGCTATTAACTTGGATAATCATTCCACTGCTCATTAGCAGTCCACATAATGGAATTTGAATTTAGGGATTCTTTTTCTCCCATACTTCAGAATAAGTGAAAGCTTTTTGCCTATTTCTTGATCAGCTTGTGCAGGGTTGTGGGACCCTGCCTTACTCTAGCAGTTCCTCAGCAAGAACACTAGAGTCGGGCATTACTTTTTCAACTAGCCTGCTAGCTACCTAGGACCTTTTATATGGCTTTTATACATGAAAAATTTAGACTCTGGAGCTACTTAGCTCCCTGTCAGTACATAGTGGATAAAGTTGGCATCTGCACTATGGATTTTTTTTCCCCTGTTCTTTCTAAATCTAGAATTCCACTCCGTAACCATTGATTCAAAAAAAGAGAAGCCTAAAACTTCATCTGATTTTATAGCACATGTGGCTAAATTATAGTGCCCTTAAGGGAAGGGAAATCAAAGGGAGATGTCAAAGACATAAGCGATCATCAGAGTGCAAGTAAGGCTTCTGCAGTGTTGGTGTTGTAATCTTTTCTTGCGAAGAGGAATTGGTAGGAGAGTCATATTCTTGCCAGTGTGTGAAAAACACTCAGGGTTTGTCACTTCATCTATAAGTGATTTTTTTTTCCACTTAAAATAACTCTTGTCTATTAGAACAAAAACTTTCAGATTATTGCCAAGTTTGACAGCAAAAGATTCTTATCTGGTTGTTAAAATTTTTTATATGCTTGTTTTTTGTACTGCATACCTTATAGAATAAACTAGTATACCAATACTAGTTTTGCCCAGTTTCAATATGAACTAGATTAAACCAAAAAGACACATTTTCTTTTTGTCCATAAAATGAACTTAATGTTTAATTATATCATCAACTTGGATTACCTGCTTGGCAGGAAGCATAGTAAGCATTTCTTGGAGCCCTCCCTAGCTTTCCATCTTCACATTCCTCGAGGTAAAAAATGCTTCTGTTGTGTATACTCTGCTGCAAATACAGCAAAGTTGTTGTTTTAAATGACTGCAGACATACAGACGGCAAGGCTCCTGTCTTCACTAAGGCCCCAGTCAGTTGCCTGGAGCATGGAACTCACGGGTGGCTTTTTGAAAGGAACTGGTAAGATGCCCACGTCCATAGGATCTAGGCCAACTTGCCTATCTGCTTTTGGATCTGTTGCAGTACAGGTATTACACAGCCTTAAAGGAGCAGCCTTAGCATGCACTTAATAGTACGAAATGTGTATATTTGGGATCAGTAGACTTTCCAGATCAAGCAGAGATGGAAACTGGGGAGGTGAGGTAGGGATAAGGGAATCTTTTCCCAAGCACTGAGATGCTATACATGAAAATGTGTCAGGAGAATTTCATCATTTCAGGGTTTTGCTCTGAGTGATATGGTGAAATTCCCTCTGAATACTGGTACTGTATGGGGTGGTTCTACAGTGATAATGTGAACAGTCTGGGTTCTTTTGGTTTGTTTTTTTTTTAGTATTTACAATAATCAGATTGCTAACGAGCTATTGCAAAACCAAAAGAAGCGACTTCTATACCAGGTTAAAACTGTTCTAAGAAATCATGTAAAAGAACATGCTTCAGGCTTTATGTGTGGATATTTATTATGCAAGTTTTGGGGGAGTCTGCAATAAGTTGCTTCCTGCTAGGTGTAGGAAGACAGGCCGGAGTTGATCATAACTTGTGAATAATTAGCAACAATCCTATGAGCAAATCTGCTGCCTGAAACTCCTATTTTGGAGACTTGGATATTTGGAGCCCATACCCTTTTGCCTTGTGATGAGAGACTCGGAAAACCTTTGCTTGGCCACTCAGTTGTTGCTCAGTGCTGGTGTTCAGTTATATAAATGAAGGTAAGATCACTGTTGCTGTAACAGGCTCTCAAAACTGAGGAGGAAGACACTTAAGCACATTTGTCTTAAATATCGATGTTTACAACCCCAGCAAATACTGATCACATAGAAAGAAAAGCACATATATAGTATATTTTCATAAAACCTTGTGCCTCACTGGGTCATGTGACCAAAACACTATTTTTTTTTTTTAGCAACTGTAGAATTGTTTTGTAAAATAAAAACCAAGCTCTCCACAATGTTTTGTATATTAGTTGATTATTTGTAGTTGTGCTTTTTCTATGTATTTACTCTGTTTGATTTCTACTTTGATAAAAATCTTTTTTCCTACCTTGCAACTTTCTCTGTAATTAAGTTAAATCTTTAAACTTGCGGATGTTCAATTTTTCAATAAAGTTGTCATTGCATTAACGAACTGCTGTCATGGTTGATGCGGAGTTGATTCTGACTCTCCAGCTGATGCTGAAGTTGCTGTGGGTTTGTGAGTGATGAAGTGGTTAGGTCTCTTGCTCCTTCCCCTAGCTGTGGACATGATGTGTGCTGGCTGAGGGGAATCTCCATGTGGCCACCGCTGTGCAGTTGCTTCACCCAACATGAATTTAGCTTAAATGCTTACTGGCTCCTGGAAACAGGTGGGCCAAACTACAATAGTTAGCATGGGGATGGGTGTATGGCAAGGGGGCAGGGGCTTGTGTGTGTGCGTGTGTGTTTGTCCTTTGCATCAAAAGTTAACCCGCATGTGTCAGCAGACCACTGGTTTAGTCCGGGATACAGAGCAAATAATTCCTGATGCTCTTCTACCAGCAAACATTAGAGTTATGGGACGCCTCTGGCTCTTTGTGGAATAAATCATAGAATCATAGAATGCCTAAGGTTGGAAGGGACCTCTAGAGATCATCTAGTCCAACCCCCCTGCACAGGCAGGGTCACCTAGAGCACGTGGCACAGGACTGCGGCCAAGCGGGTTTGGAAGATCTCCAGAGAAGGAGACTCCACAACCTCTCTGGGCAGCCTGTTCCAGTGCCCTGGCACCCTCACAGTAGGGAAATTTTTCCTGAAGTTCCTGTGGAACTTCTAGTACTTCAATTTCTGGACGTTTCCTCTTGTCCTGTTGGTGGCTACCACTGAAAAGAGGCCAGCACCGTCCTCCTCACTGCCTCCCTTGAGGTACTTATATATACTGATTAGATCCCCTCTCAGCCTTCTCTTCTCCAGGTTGAACATGCCCAGCTCCCTCAGCCTCTCCTCACAGGGCAGATGTTCCAGGCCCCTGATCATCCTTGTGGCCCTGCGCTGGACTCTC